CACACACACACACACACACACACACACACACACACACACACACTCCCATCATTTCAGTAATCTTTTCAGCCAAAAACCTACATGGCCACCACTGCAAACATGAGCTGGGTGCTTTCCAAGTATCTGGCAAGTGCACTGAGCTCCAGTAGGCAATGGTGAAAAAAATCATGTTGGCTCCTGTCCCCTCTCCCAGGGATTCCTCTTCTCAGGCTTACCTAGGGAAAGCCTCATCTTTTCTCCTGACCATAGTAATGGAACCCCTGAGTTATCTGAAAGGTTCATCTACTCCCTCCTATGCCCTGCCATCTGATCTTCTCTCTAGGTTCCTAACTGCTCTCTGGGATACTTTAGCAAGATGACAGAAGACTGCATGCATCACGCCAAGCTTTTATGCTGGGAACAGCCCATAAAGTAGGCAGTAAAGATGATACCATTTGCATTTTACGGATGGGAAATTTGGATTCCAGACAGCACATCCCCAAGACCATTTAACTGGTGAGTTGTGGGATGGGTAATGGCCTTGATTTATTAAGAGAAAATCAGGACTCCAGGGGCTCCGTGGTATCCCGAGACTCCACTTGTCCCGCCCACACTTACCAAAGGCTCGGGTGTCCAGCAGTGCAGTCTGGCGTGGCCTCCTGGCATCATCGTCACACACCCACTGCTCGCAGCACTGGCCAGGGACTCTCACATGCCGGGGCTGTCGGCACCAGAGGCGCGGGGGCCTGGGGCTCAAGCACAGTGGTGTGCAGCCCACCGTGCCATCAATGCAGGTGCAGTTGTACCTGCAGTTGGGCTGAAAGGACTCGCCATTGTTGTAGCGTACGCCATCCAGGACACAGCCCACACCGACCACCTCTGCAAAACACAGGTGGTAGACATGTCAGGCCGGGAAGTGTGGGCTCTGTGCCAGGATACTTCTGTGCTGTTTTTCCTCTGTGTAAGATGTCATGCCAAGAAATCACTCATGTGTGGATGGAGGGGCTGTCCCAGCTGGCTGCACCCCAAGGGCAAAGATTAGGCCATGTGAAGGGGCGGGGAGCGAGGGTATGGTGAAAGTCTTTTATGACATCAGGGGACAGCCACCGAAGACTCTGCTGGATATTGGATGGGAGGGTCCAGGAAATTTTCATCCCTACACTGTGCCCAGCTCCAGGCCTGGTACTGACGAATGCCGGTCCAAGGGAGAAAGGCGTACATAGGAAACCAGAACCTAAGAGTGGAAGGGGTTGCCTTCCTCAGGACTGACTGTGGAGTCTGGCAGGAGCTGAAGACCCGATGCTGGACACAATGACAACAGCCTGGTCCTCGGAGATCTCACTATAAGGTAGAAGGATGGCCCAATGGTCACGGAGTGGAAGAAGGGGTTGCCTTCCTCAGGACTGACTGTGGAGTCTGGCAGGAGCTGAAGACCCGGACACAATGACAACAGTCTGGTCCTCGGAGATCTCACTATAAGGTAGAAGGATGGCCCAATGGTCACTGGGAGTGTCTGTTGATGATGACAGCCACCAGTGGTACGGGTTGGAGATAATGGAAGAATGAGAGGGTGGTGGACACGGACATGGCCTGTAGGCTGAGAACAAGTGGACCTGCAAGGTCCATGGACACGAGAGGGCTTTCTGCCTGCCTTCCACAAAGACCAGAACAAGAGGGAGGCAGCCCAGGCATTGACGAAGTCTTCCAGGTAGTGGGGGCATCTACTGTGGGTGTGTAATGGCCGGATGAAGGAGCAGGCCTACGGGGAGGGAAGCAGGAAGAGAGAAAGAAAAGGGTGTGTGGAGGAGCAGCGAGACCAGATACATCTTCCTCCTGTCTCGGTGGAAGATCGACAACTGTTAGCATCTAGAACTCTTCCTGGCACATAGTAGGTCTTCAGAAAATGTTTTTAGAGATAGCATTTAATCAATTTAATTTTTTTTGCGTGGTTTTCTTAGACATGAGATATGCCCAGTGGTGTTGGTTATACAAGCTGGCCTGTGGGCTTGGGGGACGGTCGGGCCAGATTCTACCTTGGTGCTGTGTGCTCCTTGGGGATAGCACCTGGCACTATACACAGAGCATTCTGGGACAGCAATGATGCCCACAGAGGAGGACGGTTAGGAGTCTACTGCAGCTCTGTCCTGTCTCCTGGATTGGTGGGGGTGGTGGCTGGTCATAAGAATCAGGCCATCTGTCAGGTGCCCATGCTGTCAGAACGAGGGACTCTGCTGTGTGTTTCATGGCATGTTTTGTTTTGTAAGGAAACACATAGCTCCTTCCATTGTTATGTACAGCAAAACAGTCCAGCAAGGTGACAAGGGAGTGTAAGCTGGCCAATGAGCCGTAGACTCGGGGTGTGTACATGCTGCCGTTGTTATCATTTTCTGGACATCCAGGAAGCAGGTGCTGGCGTGCATTGACACCAGCTTTGGACCCATGATCTCACTCATGACTTTATCAGGAGAGCTTTGTCTACTTCTTTAGGGACAGGAGAGGTCTGGGAGAGGGAGGGATTCGTGTGCTCAAATAACATGAGTGATGGAGTGAATGACACAGCAGAGACGCTAAACCCCCAACAGCCTCCTTCTACCTGATGCCAAAAAGGAGATGAGGGGAGAGGAAGGAGAAACGTCAGGCAGAGGAGGAGGAAACAGTATGCAAAGGGACCCCTAAGCCTCAGTCACCTGGCCTCTCCCTCAAACTCCAGGAAGATGTGTATGTGTAAATGTGTATACGTGAGTGTGCACATGTGTATGCACGGGAAGGTACATCTGTATACATGCTAGTTTATGTATTTGTTTACATGTGCATGTGTGCATAAGTGTGTAGGCAGATGTGTGCACGAGCGTGTGAGTCTCTCTCTCTCTCTCTCTCTCTCTCGTGTGTGTGTGTGTGTGTGTGTGTGTGTGTGTGTGTGTGTTGGTGGAGAGGAGACTGAAGCTTATGCTCTGCTCCCGTGGGTAAAGATGTCAGTTCAAGACTCTGGAGTCCTTGGCAAAGCAACCCTTCCATCAGCTCAAAGGAACTCACAGGAAAACCTTTGAAAATGTTGATGCCCAGGCTACATAACACGAGACAGCCCTACATACTGGAGCGTTGCTTCCCTCAGACTTGGTATTCTTTAAAATCTCCCAGGGGTGTCCAGTGTGCAGCAAAAGTCAGGGATTGTGCCCAGAAAGTGCTATCTCTGTAGGCTGAGGAATGGGGACACATGGGCAGCTGATAAACCTGTGGACCAAGAGAGATCAGAGTATGCGATGGCCAAGCGTTACCCACCAGCAGAGGTCAGACCCTTCTTTAGGCACATACAGCCCCTCTCCCTTCCTGGGGGACAGGTTTTGGGTGACAAGAATGGGCCAGCTCTGCTCTGACCTCACTTGGAAGTTCAGGTGAGACACGGGCAGCCTTCTTAGAGCTAAAAGACTCGCGGCAGCAAAGCCACCATGCTCCTTTACTGGGACCTTCAAGCCCTCGTCATCTGTGGCCTTTCTGGAGTAGGAACAAGGCTTGGGTCCTGTAGCCTCAACCTTCATGTTGTCCCTAGTTAGTGGACCGATGGGTGGATAGAGGCACAGGTGTGTCAGGGCCCCTACCTGCACTAGATTCCTACTGTATCTCAGCACGTGACAGCCTGACTCCCCACAGAGGTTCTCACTCTTCATCACCATGTCCTTATTAAGGACAGTGAGATTTGGGAGCTCCAGGGGCTTGTCTGACATCCCAGGAAGACTTCGCAGTAGCAATGGAATTGCAGCTCTAGTTGTGTAGCCCCAAGCACCATGCTGCGTTTTCCATTCCCTCCTTTAGCAATGCAAGGTTGGGTGGTCCTGGAATAAGACCTTCCCCTTACCAAGGATGACAGTGGACAGGGCTGCAATGATTTTCAGAGCGCAAGCAAAAGCCACAGCTACCAACTTCCTCTTTTCCCCTCCTTGCACAAGGTGGATTTAATGAAGACACTCAGCTGGTGGCCCAAGGTGGGGGGCAGCAAGAGGTAGACAAGGGATTGAAAGGCCATCTGTGAACACGATGTTCCCTTCACCAGATCTTTTAGCCCTGGTGCCTCTTTTAGCTGCACCAGAAAGGTGTTTGGGCAGCCAAAATAGTGGAACCTTCTGAAGCAGAGGGCACTGTGCCCATTGCCTTGTTTCCCTTGGCCAAGACACAACTTTAAACGTTTCTTTGAATGTAGCTCTAGTGTTTACAGATCACACACAAGCCTAGATTCCTCCTGACAGCTGAGCATTCCAGGCAAGACTAGACTCACTGTTCTTCCTGGCCTCAGTGGCCCAGGAAGGTGACCACTGACAGCCCAAACTGGTGTTTACCGGCATGCCGATGTCTCTCCTGAGCTCCCTGGGACCTGCATGGCAGCATTTTGATGACTTGTTTTGCACTCGCCTTGTCTTGGCCTAATTCTCTGCAAATCTCCAGACAGGTTTAGCCCAAACTGGGGGTCATCCTTGAGCTAAGCTGACCACGTGCTGACGGGCTGTCTGTCTGAGAGGCTCTCTTTTTCTCACTGCCTCTCTGCACTTACAGGCCCTGCCTTGCTTCTTGTTTTTGAGAACTCATGGATTCTGACATTATGCTACATTTCTGGTGAAATACTTGGGGTACACCAATGGGTTGTTTATATGTGTGCACATGTTTACATATGAAATGTGTGTATGTGCGTCTCTCTCTCTCTCTCTCTCTCTCTCTCTCTCTCTCTCTGTCTGTGTGTGTTTGTATTTGATCTGTCTTTATTTTTGTTTGTCCTGACTC